GAAGAGGAAAAAGATCAGTGTGACAGAGGCTGGGGTGGACTGGGGTGCAGAGAAAAACCCGAGGTGGGGGAGGCCTGGCCAGCGTTCCAGGGAAGTGGACTCCTAGGCAAGTGCTCCATCGCTGACCCTCGGGTGACCTGGGTGGGCCCATTCACTTCTCCAGGCCTGGGTCTCTTCTGCATAAAATGGCTCCAGCTGCATACAGCCAGTGTGCATGTTAGTCGCTCAGTTGTGTCCAACTCTTTGCGACCCCATGGACTGTAGCCCACCAGGCTCCCCTGTCCTTGGGATTCTCCAGGTAAGAATACTGGAGTGGGTTGCCATTTCCTTCTCCAGCATACAGCCAGTGGGCAGTTCTATTTCTGCAGTTTTCAGGGACCCTGACTCTGCTGGACCATTTTACCTCCTCTGTCCTCCAAGCCTTTGCTCCGCTGGTGGGTCTGCTGGGACCCTCTTCCTCTCCTGTGACTTGTGTATCCCCGCTCATCCTCACAACCCCACCTGAGACACCACTTCCTCCAGGAAGGCCCCTGACACCACCAGGCTGGACTGTCCATCCCGCTCTGCCCACTGCCCACGTTCCCTTCCCAAGATATTAAATCTGTCCTCCTCAGCGCTGTGTCCCCAGTGCCTAGGACAGGACCTGGCATATAGTAGGTGCTTAATAAATGATTGACATTGATTTATGTATTGAGCACCACCGGTTACATGCCAGACCTTAAGTGGGTCCTGGCGATCCTGTGGAGGAGGGGGAGAGAACTTCCCTTCCTGAACTGGGGAGGAGGATGGGAAACAGATGGAGACATTAATGTGATGAGTGACACAGGGACCAGGAAGCGGGGGGACATACGTCTCAGGTCAGGCCCAGCCTCTCTGAGGCCGTGGCGTGTAAGCTGGAATCAGCTGGACAAAGCTGGGGGCTGGGGAGGGATGCACAAATGGAGAAGAGGGTGACCAACTCTTCTGGTTTGCTGGGTCCTGAGAGTCTTCCTGGGACTTAAGACTTTCAGTGAGGAAGCTGGGACAATCCCAGGTAAAACAGGATGAGCTGGCCACCTGAATGGACACACTAGCCCTGACTTCAGGGGGTTTGGGGTCCGGTGAGGCTGACCTGCCCAGAAAGAGCCACCGTGAATATGGTGGGGAGGGCTCAGATGGAGGTGCCGTGAGCAAGTGCTTTACCCATGAGAACTCACTGAAGCCTCGCAACAGCTCTGCGAGGGGGCACCGTCCTCCTCCCCATGTCACAGGTGCAGAAATGGATGCCCAGCACCGCTGAGTAGCTTGCCTGGTCACACATCTAGGAGGGTGGAGCCCACAGTCACACCCGGCCTGCCGCCACCCCACCCGCTGCCCCGTGTCAGTGACAACAGCCAACAGGCGCCGAGCTACTGTGACACGCAGGCTCAGGGCCACGGGGTTCTGAGCCTCACTCCACCGAGCCCTCTCTGTCCTCCGAAGCAGCCAGTCTCACCCCGTCTTTTGCTTCATATCTTTTGCCCCAAGAACAGATGGGAAGCTGAGATCCAGAGCGATCAAAGGTCGCCCGAGGGCTCGCGAGGCGGAGACAGGACTTGAAGTCAGGCCCGGCTGAATCCAGAGCCTGGGCTGTCGATGACATCAGCCCCTGATCCTGGTGACAAGGCCTGACTCCAGGACTCAGCACCCAGGTGGGTGGGAGGGAAGTTGGAGAACGCTGAGAGCGTGATGTGCTTCCTTTCACGGCGATTCTGCATTTCAGGAGGGTTCTCTGCCAACAGTAATGCCTTCCCCAGGACTCCCCCGTGACTCCCCCACACTCATGGTGGAGACCCGGGGGTCTGGCAGGTGGAGGCTGCCAACCAGCCAGGATGGATCTCCCACCGAGAGATGCTGAGTGTGGCCCCTGAGCTGATGGTGACACGCTCCTTGACTTGCAGGCAGAGATGGAGTGCCCTGGGCTGGGTTCCCGGAGAGAGACCAGCAGATGTGCTGAAGGAAAGCAGGAGGCCTGACTCCCAGGAGACAGCTTGGGCCACAGAGAAACACAGGGACCCTGGGGTTGTGTCTGGGGGAGAGGAGATGATGGGAGGCCTGGGGGAGTGGTCAGGTGGAAACAGTGTGTGTAACCCTGGCCTGTGCTCCATGGCTGGTGGGTGGCTTAGGAGTGAGTCCTAAATCAGCAGCTGCACAGCCTGAAAACTAATTTCCTCCCACAGTGGGAATAACAGGGTAGAAGCGGCAGTGGGAGGTGGGAGAGCACAGGTGGCTTTAAAGACCAAGGACGCTGGGATGGGTAGCCACTGGTGGACTGCAGGCAGGGGAGGGACTCGTTCTGACAGTGCTTTCAGAAAGTGTGGCTTTAATCTGGACAACAGGCCGGAGGGGTGAGCACCTCCAAAAGCCACTCTCATCACTGACTTCAGCTGTGACTCAGCTCAGAGCTGTCCAGGATGCAGAGCCTGAGGAGGCTGGGTGATGGGCTCAGGGCAGGCTGATGCAGTCCGCAGGGCCGGCTGAACCTGGATGTGCAGAGCTGGGCCTGTGGGAGAGGTCAGGGCCTGGAGGCAGGGCTGGCAGTTGGCTACTGATAAGAGCAGGGAAAGAACTGGAGTCTGAAGGGCTGAAAAAACAGGCCCAAGCTTTCACACTCAAGCTGAGTCCACTCACTTCACTTCCGGGGGCTGGAAGATTTGTGCAAAACTGTAACCTTGGAGGGACTTCCTGGTCAAGGCCCACCCTCCCTACCATTCCTGTTACCTCTCCCTTTTCTGATCCTACCAAACCCCGCTTCCCTCTTTGTCCCCCTCCCACCCCCCCCAATACCCTCGGCTTCTCCACTTCCGAGCTGATCCTCATGTTGCTTCTTCCACCTGGAATGCCCCTCCCTCACCTAGGACCCATGTCCTAGCTCCTGTTGGTCAGAATTCTTTGCCTCCTTCAAACTCCAGCTCACACATGACCTCTGCCACCCCTTCAGCTCCTTCCCAGATCCCCCAAAGCTGCACGTTGCCTCCCCCTCCTCTGCCCCAGGGGTGAGTGGAAAGAGCTTAAGGGGGAACCAGGCAGGCTGCGTTTGCACCCAGCTCCTTACTGCCAGGCTGTGTGACCTTGAGCGAGTCTATTCCCCTCTCTGAGGCTCTTTCTGCCTCTGTGGGATGGGGGAGGTAACATCCACTGGCCAGACTGTCACCTGACTCTTACTGATGCACCCAACAAATGCTAACTTGATCACCCTCCTTAAGATAGTCTTTTATTCCTCACTTTTGTCCCACAAAACCTCTGACTTTAAAATGAACTTCTACAAGTAAAGTCTCTTCTTGGTTCAGAGCTTATTAATGCAGTGTCTCTCCTGCCTCAGCAGGTCCTGGGCCTTTGGGATGATCCCTACAATCTCATCTCTGCCCCTGAAAAATGTCTGCATCCTTCATGATGCCATGAGCTGATTATAACTGGGGTTCCGTGGGGCCCAGTCTCAACTCAGTGTTATATCCAAAGAAATAGTCCAGTGATCAACAATTTTTCTTTTGCAGGGACAATGTCTTCAATAAAGTTGGAATTTAAAAGTCACTTGGTAAAATGTTAACAAGTATTGGTTTTTTGTTACATTAAAAAAGTTAATGTGCAGGTCAGAGTTGTTTCCCTGTGGAAAGAAAAGCTGTGCAGTGCGTTAAAACCCACAGAACTGGCCACTCCTCCCAGGTTTTTCTGAAAAGGGGCCTGCTGCATGAGAACACATTTAAATTAAAACAACTCTTCACATATCAAATAAATGTGTCAAAATAATCACAAACAAGTAAAGTATAATATATATTTACAATTCCAAATATTTATGTTATAAATATTGTGTGCAGGAGTGTTAAGTCGCTTCCGTCATGTCGACCCTATGGACTGTAGCCCACCCGGTTCCTCTGTCCTACGGACAGGCAAGAATACTGGAGTGGGTTGCCATACCTTCCTCTAGGGACTCTTCCCCATCCAGGGATCGAACTCGAATCTCTTAGGTCTCTTGCACTGGCAGGCAGGTTCTTTACCACTAGCTCCACCTATTTATAATAATAATAGGTTATAATATACAAATATAATGCAGTTATTTATAATACATAATAATATATTTAAATATATTTATAAATCCAAATTATAATACCTAAGGCATTATTGCCCTCAGAAGAAGTCATGGTGGTTAAGAACAAAGTTTTGAGTTGTTATGGTAGAGGCCAACTCGACACACCTCTCCTGAGATGAAATTGGGAAACTGGCATTGGAACTTGCAGTCATTGGAGCGTCTACCCACCCAGGACGGTGGGCATCCTCCACGCAGCTGTCCGGCCTTGGTGGACAGCCTCGAAGGCATCAGCCAGTCGTCCTGGTTCCCTCCGTGGGTCTGGCCCTGGCTGCCGCCTGCCCGCCTGCCGCTTGGCCCCTGCCTGTCCCCCAGCCCATGGTCTATTACAGTGTCTGCATGCCTGACAGGCATTGGAAAGGAAATCAATGAGATTCGGTTTAAATGCCAGTTTCTTCAAGAACCTGGTATTTCAGTTACAAATAATTGAAGCTCTTTTTTAGAAAGAAAATAACTCCCTGATGAAGTACATCACCAGGATGGGCCATAACACCTCAAAGAAGGTGCAGACCATGGCCATGAGGATGCCCTTGGTCTCTGCATGCCAAAACTTAAAACTCTGGGAGCCTCCGGATGAAGGGCTGGAACCCCTCATTCTATTTGGTTGGCAACGCGGGGATCACGGTCTGAATCTTCCATTAAGGTGAGATCCACTTTTGGAGAAAGCAAAGCTAGGAAGACATTCAGATGATAGACTCTCAAGGCATTGGTGACGATGTCCCAACCCTGCGGCAGATAAACTCGGATCATGTAGCGGAAGCTCTTGTTGGGCGTAACCACCCATCGCTGGGCCTGGAGTGCTGCAGAATTGTCTGGCCAGGACTGGTAGATCTGTCCAAGTCTTGTGACAAGTCTGTGGGCCACAGAAGGTCTCCCATGGACAGAATCTCCCACACTATCACTTTCGGACATTCTTGTCATCCGCTGTTGGCCCACCACAGTCCCCCGAGGGCCGCCGGAAGGAGGGCACGCACAGGTGCAGTGATCCGCTGGGTCTGGGAAGGGGCAGAAGAGCAGTTGGTCTGCATCCTCTGTGGCACCGCCTCTGGGACCTCAGTCAGCAATCATACAGAGTGAAATAAGCCAGAAAGAGAAACACCAATACAGTATATTAATGCATATATATGGAATTTAGAAAGATGGTAACAACGACCCTATATGCAAGACAGCAAAAGAGACACAGATGTAAAGAACAGACTTTTGGACTATGTGGGAGAAGGCGAGGATGGGATATGAGAGAATAGCATTGAAACATGTATATTACCATATGTAAAATATATGACCAGTGCAAATTTGATGCATGAAGCAGGGCACCCAAAGCTGGTGCTCTGGGACAACCCAGAGGGATGGGGTGGGGAGGGAGGTGGTTCAGGATGGTGGGACACATGTACACCCATGGCTGATTCCTTTCAATGTATGGCAAAACCCACCACAATATTATAAAGTAATTAGCCTCTATTAATTATTTTAATCTATTAATTAATTTAATAAATTAATTTAAAAAATAAAAAGGAATTCCTATATTACTTCTGGGCTTCCCTAGTAGCTCAGCTGGTAAAGAATCCGCCTGCAATACAGGAGATCCTGGTTTGATTCCTGGGTTGGGAAGATTTTCTGGAGAAGGGATAGGCTACCCATTCCAGTATTCTGGCCTGGAGAATTCCATGGACAGAGGAGTCTGGCAGGCTACAGTCCATGGGGTCATGAACAGTCGGACATGACTGAGTGACTTTCACTTTACTTCATTTCTTATTACTTCCATTTGATGATGGAGACTAAATGGGATGCAAGTTATACGTTCCACAACACTTTCTCCAGGTCCCCTTCCTCAACTTTGGGGAACGGCAGAGCCTCATGCAAGCCAAACCTTCCAGATCTCTGCAGCCCGCAGCTTGCTCGGCTGCTGTCTCCCTTCCTCTCCCTCCCCCACTGCATCTCATAGAACCAGCACCTCACTCTTGATTTCTTCTTTGTTTTCCCCCTCACTGCTCTGTGCTGTCAGTGGGTGCACACGTACATCAGAAACCATCTTGCAAAGATAACATTCTCATTTAGAGGGCAAGGGAAGGGGAGAAGCTGAGTGGGTAAAGATAAAATTCTCGTGTGTGTGTGTGTGTGTGTGTGTGTGTGTGTGTGTGTAAACGGTTGCAAATATGCACATGATAATAAATCCAGTTCCTGCCACGGCAGGTTATTAGTAAGTGCCTAGGAGAGTCCTTGCAGCTCTGAGGTGCTGTGATTCCATGAATTTTAAGATGTCAGCCTCAAGGGGGTGGGAATGAGTTAGAAGCCGTCACTCCACCAATGCCTCTCAGATACTGCCAACTCCACAGCTGTGATTGAAGCCAGACCACTAGACAGCAGTCTCAGGCATGCCACCACCTGCTTCTTCTCAGAGGAGAGAGGAGGTCCCAGTTCACTGATGTATTTACCCTGACAGCCTTTCCCCCATCCCCTCAGCTCCCAGGTGCCATCTTGTTTCCTATGTCTTCCCCCAGGCCCTCTGAGCGTTGTAGCCAAATTTGTGCTGGTGTGTGTGTGTGTGTGTGTGTGTGTGTGTGTGTTGGGGAGAGTCTACACCATAGCTCAGCCTGCAGAGCAAAGGACCAGAGCTTTTCTTTTTAATTTAAAAAAACCAGCTTTTTATTTTGTATTGAGGTATAGCTGATTAACAATGTTGTGATGGTTTCAGGTGAACCGCAAAGGGACTCAGCCATATGTATACATGTATCCATTCTCCCCCAAACACACCTCCCATCCATCTAGGCTGCCACACAACACTGAGGATTAGAGCTTTTGCCTCTGAGTAGGGCCAGGGGCCTTCCTTCTCTTGAATGTTCCTTCTTTCATTCAACACACACACACTTGTACCCACCCTAGTCCACCCTAGTCTTGCCCTTGGTGAGCCCTGGGGCTCTGGAGGGAATTCCCCCTTCAGAGTCTCTGGTCTGGATGGGGAGGCCAATGCACACACACAAACAGGATGATAAAGGCTTCGACTAGGGGAGATGTGGGATGTCTACTCAGAGGAGGACTCCAGGTTGAGTTTGGGGATTGGAGAAGCTTGATGATATGGGGCTGTGGGAAGTTCCAGGCTACAGTCACAGGCTCAGTTCAGATCTCATCCTCTTTTTTTGTTCATCCATTCCATATGTCTAGTGCAGGAACTCTGATGCTGGAGAGGTGGATCTGGGGACCCTGGAGGAGAGATGCACTGGATACTCACTGCCCACATTTTTAATTCATTGCACCTGGGGTGAATGCCACTCGGGAGAGGGCTCTGATGCTCTGAAAAAAGAATGATAATGTGGTCTTGACCTGCTTAGGGAAGAGGAAGAAGAGCTATGCGGACCGGTGATCTAGGCAGAGAGATGGGCATATGGAAAGGCCCTGCGGTGGGTGATGCTGGAGGGCAGAGGAAACAGAGTGGGGAGGCCAGTGACTGAATGAGGCTGGGGAGACAGGAGAGACCAGGCTGAAGGGGTCTGGAGGAGCCTCCCCACCTGGGTCCCACAGCTCTCGTCTCCTCACCAGCCTCATGTCTCAGGGGGTGCTCCCTCTCTGCCACACCTGTGCTGGGTACCAAAGGTTCAGGGGGTGCAGCAGAAGTGACTGGGATCTGCTCACTGCCTCGAACTCCTGCCCACATCAGCCTCTGACCCTGCTCTGGACACTTGCTGTTGACACTCAGCTGGCCCCTATAGGGGCCCTTGTCTGACAGTGAAGGTTGGGGGCTTCTGTTCTGACAGTGTGACCAGGACAGGTGCTTTAACCTGCAATGGGAAGATGATTGTGCCCTCTTGCGGGCTGGTTGGGAGGAATAAATGAGGCAGAGTGGGAGGATGGAGCTGTAAGCCCAGCTACGGGGCCTTCTCCAGGCTCTCTTCCTACAGGGACCTGCTTTTCTGCAGAATAGCATTGAAAGTGCCCTGAAGCATAGCAGGATCCCTCACCCAGTGTGGTAAAAGGACCCCCATGGATGGCTGAGCTCTGCGCTGGGCCCACAGAGGGAGAGCATATGACCCCGAGAGGATTCCACCTGCCTCTCGACCAGATCAGGCTCCTCCACTCAGAGACGAGTCGGTCAGCATAACCTGCTGGATGCCCGCTTCTCCCCCACTGACCCCAGGACCCAGCGCATTGTCTGTGTGCTACAGGTGCTCCTGGTCGCCCCTGCCACTTGAGGGGCAGAGACCACACCTGGTGGAGGCCCTCGTTCCTAAATATTTAAAATGATGAAACACCAGTGAACTGGAAATAATATATATTCTATTTGTTATCTTGACTGAGTCAACTGTATAATAACTCAGGAGGCCAGGTTTGATTTGAAAGTTCTCGGGCCCCTCAGGGTTCCAGCCCAGATGTAGAGGTGCAGGAAGAACCGCCCTTGGCCCCGCCTGGGCTCACCCCTTTCCCTTTCTGTCCCCAGGTCTGTCCCACACCCTGAGGGTGTAGAGGCCCCAGTGCACATGTTCGAACTCCTTCCATGACTCCCACAAACTCCTTAGTACCCCTCAGTATCCCTCAGGCCTGGGGTATGCTCCCACTGTACTCACTCTCAGGAGGACAGACCCAGGACAGAGGCCCACCTGGGTCAGGAAGTGCTCCAGTCTACTTGGGCAGAGAATTCTAGCTCCCAAAATTCAAACTATTGCCTAAATTAGGGGCTAGTCTCCAATGGGCATATTTCTTTGGCCATACACGTTTGTCATCCTATGAGGAGAGGCAGGGCCAGAGGAGGGACAAAGCAGGGTCCTTTCATGTCTGGGGTTCAGAGTAGGGGTCTGTCTTGCCCCACGTAGGGGGAAGGTGTGAAGTCCACATGTTCCACATGCCAGGCCATTTGCTCATTTCTGCAGTGGGAGGGACCCAAGATGCTGGACCAAGTCAGGGAGGGCAAGACCACAGACCCCATGCCAAGGCCATGGATAAAGATCCAGAGATAGGACCAGCTGGGCCTGAGCCCCAAGGCTGGAGTCAACCAGAGAAAGGACCTGAGCTCAGCAGAGAGGGTGCAGGTGACAGGGTGCATCTGGGGCCTTGAAGGGGTGACAGACCCCACCAGACCTCTAGTTTCCCTGCATGGAATGAATAGAAACCGAAGCCCTGAGCACCAGTTAGGAGCAGGTAATTACAGACGGCTCTATAGCAAAGCTATTCAGCCTGTGTCGTAATGGCCCATCGACCTTGCCTGGGTTTGTACACTCTCACTCAGCTGTATTCTACACCACAAATGAATGCTTTTTTAAAGAGCCATAGCTTTTCATCAGTACATGAATTTCCTAGATTCATCTCCCTTAACAGATCATTCACAAGAATGAACATCTTAGCTCAGCTGCTATAACAAATGGGTATTTAAACACCAGACATTTATTTCTCACAGATCTGGAGGCTGGAGGTCTCAGATCAAGAGGCTAGCAGGGTCCTGGTGAGGGGACTTGCAGAAACCTGCCTTCTTGTTGTCCTCACATGAGGTGGGAGAGAGAGTGTGTGAGCAAGCAATCAGAGATGTCTTCTTATAGGGGCACTAATTCCATCCTGGGGGCCCCACCTTCATGACCTCATCTGACCCAGATCACCTCCCAAAGGCTGCATCTCCTAATACAATCATGCTGATCGTGCTGGGGGTTAGGGCATCAGGGTATCAATGTAGGATTTTGGGGCAGACCTTAATTAAGTCCACTCAGGCCCTCTGGTGGCTCAGTGGTAAAGAGTCTGCCTGCAATGCAGCAGATGTGGGTTCAATTCCTGGGTCAGGAAGATCCCCTAGAGATGGAAATGGCAGTCCACTCTCCTGCTCTTGCCTGGAAAATTCCATGGACAGAGAAGCCTGGTGGGCCCCAGTCCATGGGGTCACAAAGAGTTGGACAGGACATACTGACTAAACAGCAATAATTAAGTACATAATAATGAACAAGGGTTCCTCTCATTAAAAAGAAAAGAAAGGGACTTTCCTAGTGGTCCACTGGTTAAGACTCTGTGCTCCCAATGCAGGGGGCCCAGGTTTGATCCCTATTCAGGGAACTAGATTCTGCATGCCACAATTGACAGCCTGCATGCATGTCTGCGACTAAGATATAACACAGCCAAAAAAAAAAAAAAAAAGAGAGAGAGAGAAAGGTAACATGTAGTGGAGAGGAAACTGCTTTTATCATAATGTGGCTTAAAAGGAAGGCTCATGTGTCCCTGAACAGTTTTTACTGAGTCCCTCACACATGGGGGCAGCTTGCTTGTTCATAAAGGCAAAATGCAAGGATGCTGGTATATTTTTGCTCTTGTCATAAATCAGGTAGAAGATATTATTGTTCTCCATGAAATTTTCATGTGAACAGAGAATCCTTTTCCGCATAGAGCCAGACCTGCTCTATCAAAGCTGGATGGGGAGGGAGAGAGGTGGTGTTAGGGACAGGAGACAGACAGCCATGGATCCCAGGGGGGATTCTGGAGGGGATGCCGGGAGTGAATGATAACTGTGGGAACAACAGCCCTCCCGTGGGTCCAGGGCTTCACTCTCTAAGAGGCCCCGCAGAGCCCCTGCTCTGGGGGACGGCAGCTGCCTCTGATGGTGGTGTCTTCCATGCAGGCCGTGAGCCAGCACGTAACCATGATCGCCTTACCGACTCCTCACCTCGATCTGCAGGGAGGTGCTATTATTATCTCCATCTTGCAGACAAGGGTCCAGGGTCTCACCGCCAGGAGCCAGGGGAGCAAGACACAAGTCCCAGAAGCATGATGGTGGAGCCGTGACACCGGCTGGGGCGTCCTGGCCGGCAGTGGGCGGGAGGGAGCCCCCTCTGTCAGAGACCATCCACCTGCCAGGCTCTGGGCTGGGCCTGTTGCATATTTCGGGGTTTATTACTCCACCCTGCAGTCCTAGGGGCATGTTATTATCCCCATTTCCCTGCCCCGAACACTGGGGTCACTCACCCAGGGTCACAGAGAAGGGTGTGTGGAGCAGGGCACAGTCCCTGCCTACAGAGCTCATTCCTGTGGGAAAGTGGTCCCCTGGGCGCAGTGCCCACCTGGCACCCTGCACCTCCTCCCTCCTGTGACCCCCTCCCAGCCCTGGGGACCGACTCTGATGCTGTTACCCAGCCCTCCTCCCCGCTTGCTCGGCATCACGGCTGCCTGCTGACCCTGCCAGGCCCCTGCAGTGTCGCTGCCTGGTCTGAGAGGGACCCGCTTGGCTGAGGGGAGAGAGAGAGGCTGGCACATCTCTTCCAGCAGCCTGAGTCTTTAATGGGGGGCTTCCCAGAGAGGGCACACCCAGTGGGAGCTCCAAACACAGCCTCTTGAGAGGCAGACCTCGGCTAGCACGTTGTCAGAGGCGTGATGCTCTGTGGGGACAGAGGTGGAGGGGGACGTGTTCTTTACTCTCTGGGGGCCGCCTGGGTTGGCCCAGCTCAGCCCCTGGCTTGCTGTGTGACTGTCTGCCAGCCGGTACTTCTACTCCCAGTCCTGCATGTGTGTGTTTTTCCCCCCCAAATCAAGCAATTTTCCGACACCAGCTTGGCCCATGATTCACCTCAATTCTGACACTATCTACCTAGAGATAGTCTCATATCCTACACGGTAAAGTCTCAGTCCCACAAGGCAGAGTTCCCATTCTTGGCCAACCACTCCCCCTGCCCCGAACTTTATAGACACCAGTGGAAAGTCCAGGTTGTCCCCTGTGATTCTGACCTACCGGCTATAAATCAGAGGTTCCCACAGGTCCCTCCTTGGGTTTGCTTAATTTGCTAAAGCACTTCATAGAACTCAGAAACCAGTTTACTCAGGAGATTACTGGCTTATTTTATTTTTTAAATTTATTTTTAAATTGGAGGATAATTGCTTTACAATGTTGTGTTAGTTTCTGCCTTACAACAACATGAATGAGTCATAACTGTATATGTAGCCTCTCCCTCTTTAGCCTCCATCCTACCACCCCCTCCCCCCCATCCCACTCCTCACTGGTTTGTTATGAAAGGATACAGCTCAGGAACCGCCAGAGAGAGATGAAGATGGCAGGCTATGTGAGAAGGGACGCGGAGATTCCTGGCCCTTTCCAGGTGCACCCCCCTTCCTGGCACCTCTATGTATTCATCAACCTGGAAACTCTCTGAACCTTGTCCTTTGGGGTTTCTCAGTGGGTAAAGAATCTGCCTGCAATGCAGGAGACACTGGAGACACAGATTCGATCCCCGGGTCAGGAAGATCCCCTGGAGAAGGAAATGGCAACACACTCTAGTATTCTTGCCTGGAAAATCCCATGGACAGAGAAGCCTGGTGGGCTACAGTCCAGGGGGTATCAGAGAGTCAGATGCAACTGAGCACATTATATAATGGCTGATTAAATCATTGACCACTGATGATTGATCCAATTTCCAGCTGTTATTCCCTCCAGGGAAGTCAGATGGGACTCTAATCCTCTAATCACATGGTTGGTTCTCTTGGCAACCAGCCCTCATCCTTGGGTGGGGGTCCAAAATTGCCTCATTAACATAATAAAAGAGACCCTTGGAACATCCCTGGTGGTTCAGTCCCTAAGACTCTGCTCCCAAAGCAGAGACCTGGGTTCCATCCCTGGTCAGGGAACTAGATCCCACGTGCTGCAACCAAGAGTTCACAGGCTGCAAGTAAGACCCGGCCCAGCTGAATTAAAGAAAAGCAGCCTTATCACTCTCATCACTTATGAAATTCCAAAGGCGTTAGGAGCTCTGTGCCAAGGATGGGGACAAAGATCAAATAGCTATTTCTCAAAAATCACAATATCACACAGCCATTGCCTTCACAGTGCTGTGTGAAGCACCCCCTGAAGCACCGACAGCAGTGGGCACTGGCTCTTCCTGTTCATGGCTCTGTGCAGGCTGGGCAGCCCATGCTGGGTTCTGAGGTGGAGGCCCTTGGCTCCAGACCTTGGGCTGGGTTTTACTTGGCTCCACGTGCCTCTCATCCTCTACTGTTTTGACCCCTACTCATCTTGTGTGATACTTATGGGACTTAACTTATGTTAAGTAGTTCATAGTAGTTCGTGGACATGAAGTTGGGTAAACTCTGGGAGATGGTGAGGGACAGGGAGGCCTGGCATGCTGCAGTTCATGGGCTTGCAGAGAGTCAGACATGACTGGGTGGTTGAACAACAACAAATAGCTCAAACAGAGTCAGCGTGGCCAATGTGGTTGTTTTGACATGCTCACTATGGGACTGTGTCTCCGGGTGATAAATTAAGAGTGTTGCTTTAGATAAGAAGTTTGATGAGTCATGTACTTGAACAGGAGAAGCTGATATAATCAAGACATCTTCCAGGAGGTAACCATTATTCCTTAAAAAGACAGCATGATGCTTGCTCCTTGGAAGAAAAGCTATTACAAGCCTAGACAGAGTATTAAAATCAGAGACATCACTTTGCCGACAAAGGTCCGTATAGTCAAAGCTATCATTTTCCCGGTAGTCATGTACGGATGTGAGAGTTGAACCATAAAGAAGCCTGAGTGCCAAAGAATTGATGCTTTCAAACTGTGGTGCTGGAGAAGACTCTTGAGAGTCCCTTGGACTGCAAGGAGATCAAACCAGGCATTCCTAAAGGAAATCAACCCCGAATATTCCTTGGACGGACTGATGCTGAAGCTGAAGCTCCAATATTTTGGCTACCTGATGTGAAGAGCTGACTCTCTGGAAAAGACCCTGATGCTGGGAAAGATTGAAGGCAGAAGGAGAAGGGGGCGACAGAGGATGAGATGGCTGGCTGGCATCACTGACTCAATGGACATGAGTTTGAGCAAGCTCTGGGAGATGGTGAAGGACAGGGAGGCCTGGCGTGCTGCAGTCCACAGGGTCGCAAAGAGCTGGACACGACTGAGCGACAGAACAACTGAATGAAGCTGGGTGACTTCAAGGCTCTTCACTGGAGGATCCGACTCCGTGCTGCTGAGAGGTGCTGCCAGAGGCCTGGTTGGAGCTGAAGGAGGCTCCCCACCCACTCTAGTCTCAAGATCCTCTGCTGAACCATGGACCGCTGCTCATGCTGAGACGTCTCCATCCCAGACTCCTCCCAGGAGAGGTTTGTTACTTCTCTTTTCCCTACTTTGACTAACTTGTGCCATGTGCTAATTGTGTGCAATAAACTGAGTGATTCGTGAATTGGATATTGGCTCCTGGGTTGTTCATCTCCAGTCCTGTGACTCTCACCTGTGCTTCCTGCTGGGCCCTGAGACAAACCTCTGTGGATCAGTGGCTCCTGAAGTTGTGTTCTGCTCCTCAAAACTGGTGCAGGCACAAGGGGCGGAGCAGAAACATGGGATGTCCCTTAAGGGCTTGGCTCAGAATTGCCACCTGTCACATCCGCTGACATTCCCTGGACCCAAACAGGTCACATGGCCAAGCTCTGCATCAGTAGTGGGGAGGGCTGTGAATATTTGCTGAAAAGAATCCAAACAGGTACAGAGATTTGGGCAGTCACTTCCCACCACCACCTCCATCCCTGAATCTGGGAATCCCTTCTGTCAAGTTTTTGGGTTGGGTTATTTCCACAAACTTTCCCATTCCCAACACTCGGTGAAAAGAAAATCAAAACAGAGCTGGTATTGCTAAGAGAACACTCTAAACAGAACCAGAAGGCCATGGAGGGAGTGAGACTTATGGACGTCCTAGTTTGGATGGAATCTGACCTTCTGCTCACTTACTGTCTTATCAACGGCATCCAGAATGTCTGCCCAAAGTTCCAGAAACTCAGGATACTCATCGGGCTTTTGTTGTTGTTCAGCTGCTAAGTCATGTCTGACCCCATAGACTGCAGCACACCAGTTTTCCCTGTCCTTCACTATCTCTCAGAGCTTGCTCAAACTCATATCCTTTGAGTTGGTGTTGCTATCTAACCATCTCATCCTCTGTTACCCCCTTCTCCTCCTGCTCTCAATCTTTCCCAGCATCAGAGTCTTTTCCAATGAGTTGGCTCTTCACATCAGGTGGCCAAAGTATTGGAGCTTCAGCTTCAGCATTGGTCCCTGCAATGAATATTTAGGGTTGAATTCCTTTAGGATTGACTGGTTTGATATCCTTGCAGTTCAAGTGACTCTCAAGAGTCTTCTCCAACACCACAGTTCAAAAGCATCAATTCCATAGCTTTGACCAGATAAACCTTTGTCAGCAAAGTGACACCTCTGCGTTTTCAATATGCTAAATTTGTCAAAAACTTTCTTACAAGGAACAAGCATCTTTTAAGCAGTGATTTTGGAGCCCAAGAAAATAAAATCTATCACAGCTTCCACTTTTTCCTCTTTTATTTGCCATGAAGTGATGGGGCCAGATGCCATGATTTTCATTTTTTGAATGTTGAGTTTTAAGCCAGTTTTCCCAGTCTCCTCTTTCACCTTCATCAGAAGGCTCTTTAGTTCCTTTTCACTTTCTGCCATTAGAGTGGTATCATCTACATATCTGAGATTGTTGATATTTCTTCTGGCAATCTTGATTCCAGCTTGTGATTCAGCCAGCCCAGCATTTCGGGTGATGTACTCTGCATACAAGTTAAATAAGCAGAGTGACAATATACAGCCTTGACACACTCCTTTCCCAAGTTTGAACCAGTCATTGTCCCATGCAACTCATGAGAGCCCACCCCATGAAGACAAGTATTTCCTTTCTTGTGTCATGGTTGGCCATAATTCTTTCCAGACAACTTAACCTTGTGGTATTGCCTTCGTAAGCCCGTGACTCTGTCTCTTCCCCCGGAACACTCTTTTGGTTTTACCTGAATCTGTGTCTCTGAACTGCGGCTCCTAAGACCCCAAATAATCCTTCTGTTTGTAGCCTTCTGTGTCTTCTTGGTTGATACCCCAAAATAGTGGGGTTTCCTCAATCCACAGCTACTTAGTCTCCCAAGTGGTCACAGAGCCCGGTTGTGAGCTGGGGATGGGGTGGGGTTTAAGAACCAAGCTGCTGTTTCTTTAAGCCCTTGGGCCCCTCACATACCTGGTACTACCTCCCACCATCTCACTGTTCACAGTCTTACCCTGAGCCTTTCACTCTGAACCTAGAACTTAGCTCAGTCCCACTTGCTCCTGCCCCCTGAAACCCCCCACTCACAGACAGGGTCACCCCTGAACCCATGCCTGGTACTGCCTTCTCAGCTCCAAATTCCTTTCATCTTTGGCTGTGACTTTGCCTTCTTCCTAACCCCCAGAAAAATTCCAGCCTTATCTTCTGACCCAGGTTCCGGGGTCTCCACATCCCAGGTCCCGAGGCTCCACACAAAAGGAGATTGAAACTCAGCTCACAGAGTCTCTGCAACTGTGGGGGAGGGGTGCTCCCACATCATGCAGACACTTCTTTCTACTGAAGGGAAGCCAGGTCCCTGGAAAATGTGTTCAGGCTTTGGTTGTATTTAAATTGCTCTCCCGCAATCAGTTCCTCCCTTTCTTTGCAGGGTGTCTGGCTCTCTCGCTAATGTCTCCTTTTGTGTTGCTGCAAGTTGTTTTCAGTTCCTGCAAAGTAGGTCTCCAGCTTTGCACAGAGTCCAAACTCTTGAGGGTCGGCTCTCCCCCTACTTTCCCTCCCTCCTGCCTGGGTACTGACTCCTCAGTCTCCGAGCCACAGAGGAAGGTGGCAAGGCACCTTGCAGGTGACACAGAGGTCTCTCCCTGTGGCCATAGATGCCCTGCCCATGAGATCCGTGAACTAGAGGAGTGGGCCCCTCCCTTCACTTTCACGTTGAGCACATGCCCCATGTTCCCCCAGGAAGAATGCATGTGGTCCTCATGGTAGTGACACTGATGGTAACTCATGATCTTGGAGCCTGTCCTGTGGCCTGGGGGCCAAGCCGGGCTCTTTCCAGGCACAATCTCTCAACCCTCCCCAGAATTCTATAAAGTAGGTGCTACGACTGTCCCCATTCTTCAGATGGAGACACTGAGGCTTAGACAAGAAACTTGGGCAAGGGCACACAACTAGTTAGCAGTTGGGCAGGGGTGCTTCCAAATCTCACCATGTGATGTACAAGTGCTGAACCAGCCCCCTGGAATCCCCACACACCCTCATACCAAGGCCTACCATGTATCAGGAAAATATTCATTGCTTGGCTGATGGGCAGGTCCCTTTGTGCACCAATGAAAAGGCTTCCTGTTTCCTGGGAGGTGAAATGTCCCACAGCACTGGTGATGCCGTCCATGAACACAATGGATGCTGCCGCCTGTGTTCTGGATCTAGCTGGACACTGGGCTCAGTGATGAACCTGCTTTCAGGTGGACACATAAACAGCTACCAGGAACACTGGACTCCAAGCCCTGGGGGCTGACTGGTGAACTGCTAACTAATGAACACGTTCTCCAAGTACCCTCCTCACCCTCATACTGCTGGCCCTGGAGGGGTCCACAAACCCTTGTTCCTTCCTTCCTCCCTTTGATCTCATTTGCCCATTTATAAATCCCCTCATGCCCAAGGCCTGGCTGGGGGAAGCCAGCCTTCCTCAGCGACAGAGGAAGATAATTAACTGTCATCGTCCTGGCTTAATCAGCTTGAGTGTGGGGATGGCAGTCGTGATGGAAGGAGCCGGGTTTCGGGGATGTGAATTATTTGCTCCCAGTGCTTCATCACCCTCGGTTACTGTCTTATCTTTATTCATTCTGGCAAATTAAATTAGCACTGTCTTTCCAGTCTTGTTCTCTGGGAGGAATTAAACAATGGTGGCAGAGAGAGAACTGGTCATAATGCGGGTGTTTGAGCACTTTTGAGCACCCTGTGTCTTAAAGGCCCACTTGCCTTGGAAAATACCGGGGAACCATGTCTATTGGGAGTGCAGTTTAGGGCATTTGGGGTCAGATATTGACTTTTCCTTACATCAGACATGAGTAGGGGTCAGCAGTCTCGGATTCAGTATGATATTCTGTGGCTTAGTTTTCAAATCAGTAGAATGGGCCCAATCTCAGTGTTGGCATGAGAAGCACAGGCCTGGGTTCTGGAATTCCAGGTGAGAGCAGACACCAACTTTGACTGAGGGTTTTTTAACTTCACTCCAGCAGCATGAAGATGTAGGGAGAGGAGAGCAAGCCAGTTGGAGATTTTTTAAGATTCTAACCTGGATGACATCTGAAGCAACTCCCAGCCCTGTGATCAGAGAACTTTCTATTCCAGGGGTTGCCAAACTGGTTCTGTACATTCACCTATGAACTTTTTAAAAACACGGGTTCCTGGACATTAGCACATAACTCTCTAAGATATAGCCTAGGATCTGCATTTACCCAGAGCTTTCAGAATACTATCTGAGGCAGGTGGTCTATAAATGAGAGTGTGGGACTCACTGTTCTGAAACTAACGTTTCTTACTTTCTTGGCGGTCCCCCAACATAATTGGTGCTCATCAATGCTGACCTCTCCTCACTTCCCAGGAGCATGGGGGTCTTCCCAGCTTCCCTTACAGGGAGGTGAGTAGCTGTCACTGAGGAATAGTGACTGGAAGTGATGTATCCTGTGGACTGTAGCAGTAAGAAGCCCCTGGAAGATGCCAGTTCTTTGTTGGAGGTCATGGAAGCAGCATGTTGAGATGGTCGAGGTATAAACGCAAAGCAACCTGGATCTCTGGGTCAAAACTCAGGGAAAGTCACAGTGGAACTCATGAGAGATAAGGAGATAAAATCCTGGCCAGGGAGCTTTGGGGCTGTTTTTCACTAAGCATAAATCTGGCCTGTCCAAACTAACACAGACCCTTTTGAGAATCTGGTAAAAAATCTAGTAAAGTGTGCACTTGTATATGATCACAATCATAAGGAAGCTTCTTGGGGTCCCTTTGTCACCATCAGATTTAGGAATCATTGGCCCAAGTCCCTGTCAGTTTCACCCTATGTGACCTGTCCTGTGACAGCAGTGCCATTTCCTTCCCATCCATCACTGCTCTCTTTCCCCATTCCCCTTAATTGATGGCTTCTGGGGGCTCCAAGCTCTTCTCTCTTACCCACACCATCCAGCTCTCTGTTCCTACCACACCTGTGTAGATCCAAACCTATCCAGGTGGTCAACAGAATGAAGTTCATCAGCATCACCCTTCCTGAGATGGTATATACTCACCTTCCACTCATCTCTATCTCTCACTTTTAAATATTTTAAATGTTAGTTGCTCAGTCATGTCCAAGTCTTTGCAACCCCATGGACTGTATGCTGCCAGGCTCCTTTGTCCATGGGATTTCCCAGGCAAGAACACTGGAGTAGGTAGCCATTCCCTTCTCCAGGGGATCTTCCTGACCCAGGGAATGAACCCAGGTCTCCCACATTGCATGCAGATTCTTTACCATCTAAACCCTCAGGGAAGCCCTAAAATATGCCAAGGCCTGATTCAAATGCCACCAAAGTCTCCTCTGACCCAGCTAGAATGACCTCTCCCTTCCCAAGACTCTCTAGTGTTTGTTGGCTATGCCTCGCGTTCTGTCTTTATTTCTGTATTTTTCAGAATTTCCCATTAAAAGAATCCAGTGTTTACTTAGCACCTACTACATGCCAGATTTTGTGTCAGGTCCTTCACTGGCATCTACTACCTACTTGTGAGGTAGGCTGATTATCACCCATTTCACAGGTAGGCACTGAGGCTTCCAAAGGGCAGGTGACACCACAGTCACGCAGCCAGCGAGGGTCATGTGAGGGGGGCTGCTTGCCTCCCACGTGGGCGTCCTGGGGCAGGGGCGGTGTCTCACCCATGGTGGGGGGCCTGCAAAGGCTTGCTTGGGGGACTGGGTTGTGCCTACTCCCTGTCCTTGTGGCTCAGAAACCAGCAGGGAGAACCAAGCATCTCTGAGGCCTGCGTGTGGGAGCGGATGCTGGGCGGGTCTCTGTCCTTGCATCAGGGAGGCTGGTTCAAGGGGAGGACGGAGGAGAACGCTCAGCTCAATGCAGATGCGCCCACATCGTCTCTTGGTCCTTAGGGCTCCTGGCGGAGGGCAGAATGTGTCTGGGGCAGCTTGACCTGGGAGAGTGATCATCTCCACTCCGCTGTCAGTGCAGGCTCCTGAGAGCCAGTCAGGAGGTGGTGGAGAAAAGAAGGCTGTGGGCAGAGGAGGAGGGGTGAGCTCCCAGCATCTGATGCTCCGGGCGCTGCTGGCTCCTGCCTCCCTCCAGCCCCCTCCACCTCCACCTCCCGGCTTCTCTCACAGCCTTTCCCCATCACTCCTCTGTCTCACTATGGCCTTTTCTATCTCCCTGACCTAGTCCTCTATCCCTCTGCCTGGATCTGTTGTAACTCACCTCTGTCTCTCCATACGGCTGGCTGGCTGGCTGTCCACCTCTGTCTGGCAGTATGTCTCTGAGTCTCTTTGTCTCAGCCTCTGTCTCTATCTGAACTTCACCTCCTTTCACAACGGCACTCTCTCTTCATGTGTGTCTGTGTCTCTGTATAGGTGATTGTGTGATTTTGTACCTTTCAACCCATTTCTGTGTGTTTCTATCTTGATCTTTCTCTGGCTATTTCTTGTTCTTTGTTGTTCCTTTCTTGTCTGAATCTATTTTTTCCTCTTTGTCTCTCTCTCTCTTTTTAATTAAAGGATAATTGCTTTACAGAATTTTGTTGTTTTCTGTCAAACCTCAACATGAATCAGCCATAGGTATACATATATCCCTTCCCTTTTGAACCTCCCTCCCATCTCCCTCCCCATCCCACCCCTCCAGGTTGCTACAGAGCCCCTGTTTGAGTTTCTTAGCCATATAGCAAATTCCCGTTGACAATCTATTTTACATATGGCAATGTAATGTGTTACTCTTTATATACATCTCACCCTCTCCTCCCCTCTCCCCATGTCCACAAGTCTATTCTCTATGTCTGTTTCTCCATTGCTGCCCTGTAAGTAAATTCTTCAGTACCATTTTTCTAGATTCCGTATATATGCATTAGAATATGAAATTAATCTTTCTCTTTCTGACTTACTTCACTCTGTATAATAGGTTCTAGGTTCATCCACCTCATTAGAACTGACTCAAAGGCATTCCTTTTTATGGCAGAGTCATGTTCCATCACCTCATGGGAAGTAGATGGGGAAACAGTGGAAACAGTGTCAAACTTTATTTTTTGGGGCTCCAAAATCACTGCGGATGGTGACTGCAGCCATGAAATTAAAAGACGCTTACTCCTTGGAAGGAAAGTTATAACCAACCTAGATAGCATATTAAAAAGCAGAGACATTACTTTGCCAACAAAGGTCCGTCTGGTCAAGGCTATGGTTTTTCCAGTGGTCATGTATGGATGTGAGAGTTGGACTGTGAAGAAAGCTGAGCACTGAAAAATTGATGCTTTTGAACTGTGGTGTTGGAGAAGACTCTTGAGAGTCCCTTGGACTGCAAGGAGATCCAACCAGTCCATCCTAAAGGAGATCAGTCCTGGGTGTTAATTGGAAGGACTGATGTTGAAGCTGAAACTCCAATACTTTGGCCACCTCATGCAAAGAATTGACTCATTGGAAAAGACCCTGATGCTGGGAGGGATTGGGGGCAGGAGAAGCAGGGAATGACAGAGGATGAGATGGCTGGATGGCATCACTGACTCGATGGGCATGAGTTTGAGTAAACTCTGGGAGTTGGTGATGGACAGGGAGGCCTGGTGTGGTGCGATTCATGGGGTCGCAAAGAGTCGGACATGACTGAGCTACTGAACTGAACTGAACTGAATGTTCCATTGTGTATATGTACCACAGCTTCTTTATCCATTCATCTGTTGATGGACATCTAGGCTGTTTCCATGTTCTAGCTATTGTAAATAGTGCTGCAATGAACAATGGGATACAAGTGTCTTTTTCAATTTTGGTTTCCTCACAGTATATGCCTAGGAGTGCCATTGCTGGGTCATATGTTGGCTTTATTCCTAGTGTTTTTAAGGAATCTCCATACCATATTCCATAGTAGCTGTACCAGTTTACATTCTCACCTACAGTGCAAGAGCATTCCCTTTTCTCCACACCCTCTCCAGCATTTATTGTTTGTAGACTTTTTGATGATGGCCATTCTGACCAGTGGGATGTGATACCTCACTGTAGTTTTGATTGCATTTCTCTAATAATGAGCAATGTTGAGCATCTTTTCATGTGTTGTTAGCCATCTGTAAGTGTTCTTTGGAGAAATGTCTGTTTAGGTCTTTTCCCCACTTTTTGATTGAGTTGTTTATTTTTCTGGTATTGAGTTTTGTGAGCTGCTTGTATATTTTGGAAATTAATCCTTTGTCAGTGGTTTCATTTGCTATTATTTTCTCCCATTCTGAGGGTTGCCTTTTCACCTTGCTTACAGTTTTCTTTGCTGTGCAAAAGCCTTTTAAATTTAATCAGGTCCCACTTGTTTACTTTTGTTTTTATTTCCATTACTCTAGGAGGTGTGTCATAGAAGATCTTGCTTTGATTTATGTCATCGAGTGTTCTGCTTATATTTTCCTCTAAGAGTTTTATAGTTTCTGGTCTTACATTTAGGTCTTTAATCCATTTTGAGTTTATCTTTGTGTATGGTGTTAGAAAGTGTTCTAATTTGATTCTTTTACATGTAGCTGTCCAGTTTTCCAAGCACCATTTATTGAAGAGGCTGTCTTTGCCCCATTGTATATTCTGCTTCCTTTGTCAAGATAAAGTACCCATGGGTTTATTTCTGGGATTTCTATCTTGTTCCGTTGGTCTATGTTTCTGTTTTTGTCCCAGTGCCATACTGTGTTGATGACTGTAGCTTTGTAGTATAATCTGAAGTCAGGAAGATTGATTCCTCCAGCTCCATTCTTCTTTCTCAAGACTGCTCTGGCTATTTGGGGTCTTTTGTGTTTCCATGTGAACTGTGAAATTTTATGTTCTAGTTCTGTGAAAAATGTCATTGGTAATTTGATAGGGATCACATTGAATCTGTAGATTGTGTTTGATAGTAGAGTCACAATGTTGAGTCTTCCTACCCAGGAACATGAAATAGCTCTCCATCCGTTTATGTCATTTTTGGTTTCTTTCATTAGTGTCTTATAATTTTCTGTGTACAGTTCTTTAGTCTCCTTAGGTAAGTTTATTTCTAGATATTTAATTTTTTTCGTTGCAGTGGTGAATGGGATTGATTCCTTAATTTCTCTTTCTGATTTTCATTGTTGGTATATAGAAATGCAAGTGATTTCTGTGTATTTTTGCAACTTTGCTAAATTCACTGATTAGCTCTAGCAATTTTCTGATACTATCTTTAAGGTTTTCTATGTACAGTATCATGTTATCTGCAAACAGTGAGAGCTTTACTTCTTCTCTTCCAATCTGAATTCCTTTTATTTCTTTTTCTTCTCTGATTGCTGTAGCTAGGGCTTCCAGAACTATGTTGAATAATAGTGGGGAAAGTGGGCACCCTTGTTTTGTTCCTGATCTTAAGAGGAATGCGTTCAGTTTTTCAGCACTGAGAATAATGTTTGCTGTAGGCTTATCATATGTGGCCCCTACTAAGTTGAGGTATGTTCCTTCTATGCCCATATTTTGAAGAGTTTTAATCATAATCATAAATAATCATAAATGTGTGCTGAATTTTGTCAAAACTTTTTTCTGCATCTATTGAGACTATCATATGGTTTTTATCTTTCAATTTGTTAATATGGTGCATCACAATGATTGATTTGCATATATTGAAGAATCCTTGCATCCCTGGAATAAACCCAGCTTGATCATGGTGTATGAGCTTTTTGATGTGTTGCTGAATTCTGTTTGCTGAAATTTTGTTGAGGATTTTTGCATCTATGTTCATCAGTGATATTGGCCTGAAGTTTTCTTTTGTTGTGTTGCCTTTGTTTGGTTTTGGTATCAGGGTGATGCTGGTGGCCTCGTAGAATGAGTTTGGAAGTGTTCCTTCCTCTGAAGTTTTTTGAAAGAGTTTTAGAAGGATAGGCATTAGCTCTTCTCTAAATGTTTCGTAGAATTCTCCTGTGAAGACATCTGATCTGGTCCTGGGCTTTTGTTTCTTGGAAGATTTTTGACTACAGCTTCAATTTCAGTGCTTGTAATTAGGTTGTTCATAATTTCTATTTCTTCCTGGTTCAGTCTTGGAAGATTGAACTTTTCTAAGAATCTGTCCATTTCTTCCAGGTTATCCGTTTTGTTGCCATATAGTTGTTCATAATAGTCTCTTATAATCATTTGTATTTCTTCATTGTCTGTTATAACCTCTCCTTTTTCATTTCTAATTTTGTTGATTTGATTCTTCTCTCTTTTTTTCTTGAGGAGTCTGACTAAAGGTTTGTCAATTTTGTTTATCTTCTCAAAGAACCAGCTTTTATTTTTATTAGTCTTTACAATTGTTTCTTTCATTTCTTTTTCATTTCTTTCTGCTTGGATCTTTATGATTTCTTTCCTTCTACTAATTTTTTTTTGGTTCTTATTTTTCCAGTTGTTTTAGGTGTAAAGTTAAGTTATATATTTGATGTTTTTCTTGTTCCTTGAGTTAGGATTGTATTTCTATTAACTTCCCTCTTAGAACTGATTTTTGCTGCATCCCATAGGTTTGGAGTTGCGTGTTTTCATTGCTACTTGTTTCTTGAAATTTTTTTATTTCCCTTTTGATTTCTTCAGCAACCTATTGCTTATTTAGACATGTGTTGTTTAGTCTCCATGTGTTTCTTACACTTTTTTTCTTGTAATTGATATCTAGTCTCATAGCATTGTGGTTGAAGAAGTTGTTTGATATGATTTCAATTTTCTTAAATTTACTGAGGTTTGATTTGT